GGCTTGGGTGCCATGGTACCAAGTGTAGGGACACTCCCAGCAACTACTTAGACTACTGCTATAAAATGAATTTTTAGGGGTGCCTGGGTGGCTCAGTGGGTTAAGTGTCTGCCTTCGGCTCAGGTCATGATCTCAGTGTCCTGGGATCAAGACCCACATCGGGCTCCCTGCTCAGCAGGTAGCCTGCTTCTCCCTCTGCCCCTCCCCCTGCTTGTGCTTATGCTCTCTCTCTGAAATAAATAAATAAAATCTTAAAAATAAAATAAAATTAATTTTTAGTGTCCCCCCCAAAATGTATATGATGATGCTCAATCCCCAAGGTGACAGTATTTGGAGAAGGGGCCTTTGGGAAGTAATCAGGTCGCGTGATGGAGCCCTCATGATGGGACTAGCATATAAGAAGAGACTTGAGGGCGCCTGGATGGCTCAGTCGTTAAGCGTCTGCCTTCGGCTCAGGTCATGATCCCAGGGTCCTGGGATCGAGTCCCACCTCGGGCTCCCTGCTCTGCGGGAAGCCTGCTTCTCCCTCTCCCACTCCCCCTGCTTGTGTTCCTGCTCTCGCTATGTCTCTCTCTGTCAAAAAATAAATAAAATCTTTAAAAAAAAAAAAATAAGAGACTTGAGAGAGAAGCTCTCTCTCTCGGCCACTTGAGGATACAGCGGGGAGACAGCTGTCTACAAGCTAAGAAGCAGGCCCTCACCAGACAATGGATCCTCTGGTGACTTGATCTTAGACTTTCTAGCTTCCGGAAATGTGGGAAATAAATATGTGTTGTTTAAGCCACCCAGTCTATGGTGTTTTTGTTAGAGCAGCCTGAATGAACTAAGACAACTATAGGAACAATTACGGTCTTATCAAACAAAGAAAAGTAAGCACCGATATTTTTTAAAGGCTGTGTTTGTCACATCCACTATCAGCAGGAAATGATTACTATTTAGCCCTCTAGTGCAGTGAGATGCTGCCATTTTCCTAGATATTTCTGTATGATGCTGAGGGGGAGTCCTAACTATAAAATTTTAACTTGACTATATTCTGAATAAACAGGCTCATTATTTTAAGAGGCTACTTCACACACATACCATGTTTACAAGTAAGCTTCTCCTCTCCCCCAAACACTATATTCTGCGTTTCTAAGTACTTCTTGCTCAGATGATAAAAAATTTTAGTAGACAACTAGAACTTTTCCTTAGTTATCTCACTATGGAGTATGCTTTTCCTGAAGAAAAATAAAATGCTTTCCCTGCATCACATACTCAGGTTTAATAATTCTCAGAATAAGAGTAAAGACAAGAATATATATAAGTCAATTTTCACCACATCCTGAAGAAAATCAAGGGCAGCATCTTCTTTTTTTTTTTTTTTTTTAAAGATTTTATTTATTTATTTGACAGAGAGAGACACAGCGAGAGAGGGAACACAAGCAGGGGGAGTGGGAGAGGGAGAAGCAGGCTCCCCGCAGAGCAGGGAGCCCGATGTGGGACTCGATCCCAGGACCCTGGGATCATGACCTGAGCCGAAGGCAGTCGCTCAACCGACTGAGCCACCCAGGCGCCCAAGGGCAGCATCTTCTAATGACATATGATTCAGCCTCATGACTAGTTCTTTAAGAAAAAACGTAACAGGTATAAACAATCTTTCTCTGGTTTAATAACTGTAGTGAATCTTACACTTTTGTCATTTCAGTAATACCCCCTTTATTCTGGGGACCACAACTTCTCAACATAAACCTACCAGTTGAGAAGTTCAAGGGTGCGGACCTGGCCCAAGTGGGACAGACCCGGGAAAGCTGATCTATGCCTATCTGTAGACTATCCAACATGGGATCCATTTCCTGCTATATGGACTATGGAAGGAGAGGATCTGAGCTACATTTCCCATTTCATTTATAGTAGTTTGTGCTGGATTTCCACCACCCACAAAGAATCCTAATACGGAAGTTTTGTTTTGTTTTTGTTTTTTTTTACTGAGTTCTTATGTCAATGATTTATCTAACCCACTGACTTACCTCATCCAAGAATTAAATTTAGACACTGAAGTCAGGACTCATTTTCAGAATAAATTCACTCTATTCCACATAAGAACCATATATGCCTGAAGCATAATATTAAGTAAAATCATATCACTGAATATTTAATGGCTTTGTCATTCTAACATCAAAAAATTCTATTAGTGGATAAAAGACGTATGCTTGGAAATATAAACTTGTAAGTGGATGATGGCTTCATGATGGCATAATGAAATCTCACTGCAGCAAATCAGGATGCAGTCAAACTCCATGCTATTCCAATATTTAAAAGGTCTACTTCACCTTTCATTTCTTGGGGATGGCAACGTAAAACTACATTGATGCTGGTGAACAGTATCCTCATCCTAGGAACCTGAAGCGTTTATTTTGGGACTGAGACTATCGATAGCATCCTGATAATCAGATTAGGAGCATCCAAATGCTAATAATACGTAAATCAGTTCCTAATGCAAACTGAGTTTTCAGAGTAGTATAGCCAAATGTTCCATGGTTATGATACAACTTTAGGAACTCAGATCTTAAAACTTTCAACAGGTATTCTGGATTCCTTCTGGGACGCAGGTATTTTTTTCCTGGTTGTTTTGTGCTATACAAGAGTTTCTTGCTTTTTGTTTGTTTGTTTGCCTTGTTGCTTTACTCTCTTTGCACAGACTAAAGGTCCAGAAAGACATCAGTGCTGCCATGTAGGCATTTCATCTATAGTAGAAATGTCATCTCATCGTACTTTGGGGGGTGTAGGGGGAACACTTTCCCATTTTGCCAAATAGGCTCCACTTTTTCCTGTCTGACTGGCAAGGAAAGTAAGGACATAATAAAAAAAGTTAGAATTATTAGAACAGAAAATATGGAAACTTGATTTTGAAGAGAAAAAAATTAGATTAGAATCCAAGAAGGATTTTTTTTCCTTTGACCTTCAAGAACATGAGCAGAGGCAACGTTAGGTTCAAATAAGACAACCATTCGGGCGCCTGGGTGGCTCAGTTGGTTAAGCGACTGCCTTTGGCTCAGGTGATGATCCTGGAGTCCCGGGATCAAGTCCCACATCAGGCTCCCTGCTCAGCAGGGAGTCTGCTTCTCCCTCTGACCCTCCTCCCTCTCATGCTCTCTGTCTCTCATTCTCTCGCAAATAAATAAAATCTTAAAAATAAATAAATAAATAAGACAACCATTCAAACTGATAAGGCCCAACAAATCAAAACAAAGATACTGTAACTGTAAATTTACGGATTAAAGTGATTATATAAATAATGCACTCTTATATACTACTGAATTTGGTTTTAAATGAGCTGAAATCGAGTTTTAACTGGAATACACGGAGGTCACTGCATCTGGGAGCTAAGAGTTACCAAGGAGACTGCTTGCCACTCTAATAGAGCACAATAATTGCCAAAACCAAATTAATTATGCTTGGTAATCACAGATCTCATATGTATATTTTCCACAACAGGAGTGTGGAGAAACTAATATAAATTGCTGACTTCCATTCTCACTTGGACTTCATAACCCTTGGATATGGAGTGGAAAACTAATCAACTGGAAACTAAAAATGAAAGTTTAGTGAGGCACAAAAATCCCATGTTTTACTTAGGGGAAAAGAAAATAATTTCCCCACATTGAGTGGAATGTATAAAAAAAAGTGTTCCTTAATCTTTTCTATAGTCTATAGTTCATATTCCACCAGACCATACATCTTTATTTTTTTTTTAAAGATTTTATTTATTTATTTGAGACAGAGAGAATGAGAAAGAGAGCACATGAGAGGGGGGAGGGTCAGAGGCAGAAGCAGGCTTCCCTCGATCCAGGGACTCCAGGATCATGACCTGAGCTGAAGGCAGTCGCTTAACCAACTGAGCCACCCAGGCGCCCCACCAGACCATACTTCTAATCATTATCAAAATTAATATCTAATATTATGTGTGACTACTATAATATACAGGAAAACTTGTACAAGGTTTCTATCTTCTCTCTAGACTGTTCTAAATACCATTAACTCTCTGAACAACATCAAATTAGGAAGGCAGAAATTTTTCTTACATCAGACTAAAGCTATATAACTACAGATTGAAATATGGGGCTGAGGACAGCTAGCCATATCTTAAATTGCAACCAAAATCCTCATTTGTGATGAACCTAGGCCTCATGTTAAGACTTTCTGTTCAGAACCTGCTCCCTGGTCCATGTGGTTTCCTTTACACTAACTGTAGCCTAGTCACTTGGATTCTGCCTCTTCTGTACAAAGCGTCTGTAGACCTTGCCCCAAGGTGGTTGCTTCTCCCAGCCACACCTTGCCTGCGTCACATTTTAAACAATGCCATATACACTGGTCTAAAGAGAGTCTTGACAGCCCGGCTGTGAAGGTGCCTGAGATGAACTGCTGACATTAAATAAGGAAAATGAGATGCCCTTTAGCATAGTTAATATGCAATTCTACCTAAAGACAAAATGCCTATTATTATTACTTTTTTAAAGATTTTATTTATTTGACAGAGAGAGACAGCAAGAGCAGGAACACAAGCAGGGGGAGTGGGAGAGGGAGAAGCAGGCTTCCCGCCGAGCAGGGAGCCCGATGCGGGGCTCCATCCCAGGACCCTGGGACCATGACCTGAGCCGAAGGAAAACACTTAACGACTGAGCCACCCAGGCACCCCCAGAATGCCTATTAGATAATTTCCGTAACAGTCTTTCCTCCCAGTAAGATTACTAACAGTGACTTTCCCCCAAATTTAGTTTACTTATACTAATTTTACCTTATAAGGAAAATTCATTTGCAAATTACTTTTAGGGCTACTATTTTAGTTTTTAGATAACAAATTCAGTGAATCTTCATATAATACTTTTAATAAAATCATTATCTGAAAAAGATGCTGGCAAGCCAATCATACAAATATTCAGAGTTAAATAACTACTTTAAAAGCACATTTACATTTAAATAATTACATTTAAAAGCTCGTATGTGGTATCACATATTTTTACCTTGAGAAGGTATGTAGGAATATTGCTGAAATCCACTGGCAACTTCAAAAGGAAACGAGCTGAAAATTCACCAGTCTGTAGGACAAAAGGTATAATAATAAGATTAAAATAAGAAATTGATTGTGAAGTGACAATTATAGCCAAGGCCACAAGTTCAACCTGTTCAAACTGGAGGCATTTTCAATTCGGGTTTCCTAACATTAGCAAGAAAAGAAGGCTGGAAAAGCAGGGAAAGATCAGAAAGAATTCTTTAATTATTAGCTACTAAAAGCATAATTAGAACTTTTTAAATCTGCATTTTCAATGTGCAATAAAATTATAATGTCGTGTTACCTTTTTGGGTTTTTTACGTGTAAAAAGAATACATGAATGCATGATTTTTTTTTTTAATCCAAGCAATAGAGACACACCTCTCCCTTTGATTCATTTCTTTTTTACTTAAGCATTCAGACCACTAAGATTTATAACCCACAGGCGACTGACATATATCACTATCCTTTATAGTGCATCTGGAAGTACACACAAAGATCAAACTTCTGCCCAGAGAAAGCAGTCTATCAGTAGGTACCCCAAATAAGATTCTAATTCCCTAAACAATCTATTAACATCATTATCACCAACTAATATTTTTTAGTAATTCTATGAACTAGTCTCCATAGGAAAGATGTACAGAGGTTTAGAGATTTAAAACATTTAACCAAGCCTAAATAATGACTTCTACTTTTTTTTTTAAAGAAAAAAAACTCATGTAAAGAAAAAAGTTTTCCTCTCAATTTATGATGATGGGAAATCATAGAGTTCCTTTTTATGATGGGCATGGCTAAGGTGTCACATTGTTTTTAAAAAAAACTTTGTCACAGTGTGGAGAAGGGGCCTTCCAGCTGGGCTGTCAGACACCTAGGGGTTCCAAGGAACCTCTGCAAAGACCACAAAGTAGGGTGCTGAGCTGGTGGGGTCCTGGGTCTTCCAACCTCTCTCACTCCAAGCCTGCAGTTCAGCTTGGGATTCTGACATACTGGGTTTCATTATGACATGCTGTTTGAACAAAGAACTCTCGGGATGATCCAGAACTACTCTAAAGAGTGGATCTCTATCGGACACCTGGGTGGCTCAGTTGGTTAAGCAGCTGCCTTTGGCTCAGATCATGATCCCTGGGTCCTGGGATCGAGTCCCGCATCGAGCTCTCTGCTCAGCAGGGAGCCTGCTTCTCCTTCTGCCTGCTGCTCCCCCTGATTGAGCTCTCTCTCTCTCCAACAAATAAATGAGTAATATCTTAAAAAAAAAAAAAAAAAGTGGATCTCTATCATTTTTATATTTGGGGAACACTGAAGAGCTCCCAATATCTCCACTGCCTTCTCCCCTTAAAAATAAAAACAAGCACCCCAAACTCCCAAAACACATGCTTCAACACAACAAGCATTTACAAATACTTCTTTATGGATCAGTGGATGAAGGCACATAAGCTACCTACATACCTCTTACAGATGATTCCACATCAATCACCACAGCTTTCTACAAATACCCTAACAACTGGCGGCCATTTTTAAATGCTGACCTAAAACCCTGAAAATACAAACAGAAATATAAACCTTGAGCTCAAAAGATAAAATTGCTAACTACCATCTGCATGGTGGTTCGTTGTTTTACTGCTTACAACATCCTTCAACTTACATCGACCTCAGGCTAAGGACAGAGCACTTCCTCACTGCCACAAGCCCAACCCCATGACACAAAAAGCAGAAATGAGAGAACTGAATGGACAAACTCAACGCTGAGGCAAGCCAGACAGACTCACAGAAGCCACTGCACCACCAGAAATGCCAGTGGTGAGAAACAGGAGGCATCACGGGAGCTGAGCAGCTAGTCGTAGGGCACGCCAATACATGCAGGCTACTTGAAAGAATAATTAGGAGCCACCCAGGGATCTACAAACAGCTCACCATGGTGGGTGGGAGGAAGAGGTTTGTGAAAGAGCCGAATAAAATTCTTACATTCTATTACAGTCCGAGATTACTAGAAAGGTATGGTTTGGGCATTTTGTTAAGCTCCTAGAGGATTCTACAACTAACACCACCTATTGAGTGTGATTCTTTCAACCTAAGTACAGGGGCTCATATACTGAAAGACGTGAGTATAGGGACAACATAAAGCACTATAGAATGATATGGGAGCTTATGAGAGGGGCATCTAGCCCAGTAGGAATTTGGGGGGTGTGGGAAGAATGGAAGAGTCTTCCTTGAGTGCTGGTACAATGCTACAGAGGAAGGAACACTCATCAAAGAAGACAAATTCCCAACCACTGTCCCCACTCTCTCTCCTATATAATCAATTTTTCCCTCTTTACCCACTCACTCCCATCAGTATACAAACATCATTTAAAAAGTCTTTACCGAAAAGAAAAAAATGTAATAAAATAAAAAGTCTTTCTTAACTTCATACCTTTCTTCAGGTCCCATCTCATTTCTCTGTTCTACTTTACAAAACAACCTCCTGTAAAGAACTGGTCTATATTTCTTCTTTTACTATTCTCTCTGGAACCCTCTCCTGTCAGCCTCCCCCGCCGCCACAACCAGGCAGCCCCAACAGCTCATCAGGGTCACCAATGACCTCCCCATGGCCAAATCCAACAGTCATTTCTCAGTGCTCATTTTAGTACTTGTTCTCTCAGCAGCGTTTTGACATAGCTGATTATTGCTCCTTTCCTGAACATTCTCCCCTTGGTTTCCAGGATCCCACCCTCTCTTGGTTTGACTTTACTTCACTAGCCCTCCCTACGGCCTCCCCAGCCTCTGCACGCTGGAACACACCACCACAGCTCAGCCTCAAGACCTCTCTCCTTTCCTGACACTTCAGGTGACCTCATCTAGGCTCAAGACTTCCAATACCATTTATATGCTGCTGATTCCCAAATGTTCTATCTCTGCCCAGACCTTTCCCTAACTTGTTTCATTTATCCAACTATCATGATTGAAACCAAACTCCTGATTCCTTTCCTTTGATATTTAGTCTTCATTTTAGTAAATGGTAATCCCATTCTTTCAATCCTTCAGGCCAAAAACCTCAGAAGCATCCTTGATTCCTCTCTTTCTTGCTCATCCTACGTTCAAAGTGGCAGAAAATCCTGTTGATTCTACCTTCAAAATAGATCCTTAGTCCAACCACTTCTCACCACAGCACAACCACCTGATCTGAGCCACGGCCATCTCCAGCCTAGCTCACTGCAATCACACCCAACTGCTTCAGCCACTGTTCCTCTGGAAGCTTGTTCTGGTCTCCAAAGGCACAGCAATGCTTTCAATACATTAGTCAGATCATGATCCTCCTTTGCTCAAACCTCTCAAATGGTAGAGTTTAGCTCCTTTAGAGAATAATCTGATAAGGCAAATTGAGCAGAGATGTGAAAGAGGTGAGGAAGAAAATCATGTGGAATGTGGAGGAGAAACATCCCAGGCAAAGAGAACAGGAAGTATAAAAAGGGTTGATGCAGGTGCAGGCCAAAATGTTCAAGAAAGAGCAAGGACGTCAGTGTTACTGGATCAAATAAGCACTAACACCGATCAGAGGTCACCCCGAAATTCTCTTTTTCTAACCGCTGTAGGATGTGCAACAATCACTCATAACATTAGTAAACACTGAAATGACAACTGCATCTACACGGAATATTTGTTAAGTCATTCCTGGGGATATTGAGAGAGGTTTTTTACAAGTACCAAGGGGTTAGAAGATATTGCAGAAGGGAGTTGGTTGGACAGACAATAATAAATCAAGCTCAATTCATCTTCATTTTTAATTTGGAGACTCAAACCATCTACAATCAATGAACAGCCATTTCTACCTACTGGGATACAATGTCAATCGGTGAGTTAAAATGGCAGTCTCAAAACTTTCACACTGTTAGACTCAATGGCTCTTCTACATTTTTTTTTTTTTTTGAAAACAATGAAAGGAGTAAAATGTAGGATTTAAAAATTAAAACAAGTCTTGTACATATAAGGTAATGGGAAATATAATTACATATTTAGCACTTGGACTCATGTGAACTGCTAGTTATTTTAGTCCATGTACTACATTTTAGCTCTTTTGCCCTATTTCAGTTTGTACAATATATTTTTATTCTACCAGCTATTTTAGACCAACATTCCTTTAAAAACGCTTAGACCATCCCTACTTTATCCCCTCTCAAAATGTTGATCCTAGAACTAATATAAATTTATGTTTATTGGCAAAAGACTGATTTCCACAACTAAATTCATAATAAAAGGCAAGTTGATCCAAGGACTAAGAGGAGTTTGTGTTTATCAGCAATGGACTGATTTACACAACTAATGTCATAATATGAGAAACTTAAGGCTGTGAAAGGAATTCGGTGCTCTGGAAACCACAGAAAGTGCTTTTTGATCTCCAACTTTCCAGCTGACTATACAGTCTTTATCTTGCCACAAGAGAATAAAGAAAACTTAGCACTTATTTCTAACTTAGAAACATTGGAAACTACAACTTAAGAATTCAGTTTTCAGTTCTGCTGCTGATTTTCCCCGTGACCTGGAAGTAATCTCCTTCTGTGTAACTAAGTAAATGCTGATTTAAAACATGTCTTAATATAAAACTTAAGCTATAAATTACATAAGGAACAAAACATAAGTGAAAAATCCGTTCTGAGTTCTACCTCAGATGACTTTTTCTGTGTTTTTATATTCGAAGTTCCAACAGTTATTTAAGCAATTTACGGTCACTCTGTTGCAACGTCAAAGATTGCTTCCATACCAATCTTTCCTGTAAGCTGAAAATGAGACATTTAGATGCAGCCAAGTGAACAGAATAATTTGATTTTTTTTGTCAGTCCTTGGTCAAATCTTCTCTTGGATAGATGTAGAAAATTATCTGACCTATGACTGTTAAAATGTCAGCCGTTCTGCCAGCTGCCTTAATGGCAATTTCCCCAGCTTAGCAATAAATATGTGCATCCTTCCTTTTTTTCAAGTTACAGTACATTGGCAAGTAACTTAAACTAACAAGACTCTGAGTTTTGGCAATTTATTAGGTCTGAGCTTTTCTTCTGCTAATAGCAGCTGTGT